TAGGTTAATTAAATTTTATTTATCATGTGGTTAGGACTAGACATCTTAATTAATACTCCAATATTTTTAATGTTAAGGCATTATAATTTTTTTTTTTTATAAACAACAAATAAAGAGTAGGCATCTATTTACAGATAAATCTTATATATGAGTTTTACATACAATACTTATAAAAAAATCTTAATTATTTATTTTTACATTTTCGATAGTAGAGATTTATCATGATTTTTAAAAGAAAAAAGATTTATTTTTAATAAATATGATAAAAATAAATAAATTAAAATGATTGAAAATAAAAAATAATTAAAATTTTATATTAATGTAATGTGTAAAATTGTGTGTAAGTGAAATTTAATTTAAAAATAAATAAATAAATAAACAAATAAATAATTAAAAAAAATTAGATGTTGGTTTATTTAGGCGGAAGATACACATGAGCCCCTCTACTAAAAAATTTGTGGCATATCAGTCCCGTTACTTTTTTTGGTGGCATTTCACCCCCTCTACTTAACAAACCCATGCAAACTGCCTATTTTTTTATGGCTGATGTCATTGTGACATCATCAATCCCTTTCCTCCGTTGCTTGTCATTTTTGGACTGAGTTAATGGCCATGTCACGTGTGATTTAACTAATGGAAAAAAATACATTTTTTAAAATTAAGGACTAAAAAAATGCATAAAATAACTTAAAAACTAAAATCATTTAAAATTAAAAGTTTAGGGATAAAATTGATCGATGTTTACTCTTTCAAACTTAGCAGTGGAGGATTGATGATGTCATAACGACATCACAATGACATCATAAATGATGTCAGCCGTCAAAAAAGATGGTTCGCAAGGGTTTGGTAATCAGGGGTGGCACATTGCTACTAAAAAATGTAGAGGTGCTTATATGCCACAACTTTACTAGTGGAGGGGCTGATTTGCACTTTCTGCTTTTTTATTTTTATTAACCAGGGAATGGACGTTGTGAAGTGAGTCTTCCCAGCATATGCTGGCGAACCAAACCATCTAAAATGCAATCAAACAAAACAAGAATCCGGCAAAAGAGAGAAAAAATAGGGCAAAGATAACTTAAAAAAGGTATTGAAAGTAATTGATCAATGCATGTGTATTTGAGGCACAAGAATATAAAGGGTATTAGTATGCTTCATGGTCCACAAAACAATCCCAAACTATATATAAGGAGCCCATAACAATTTTACCAAACATTGACATTCAATAATTATGATAATTAACTATAGCACACTTCTATTTTCTTCTATATCACACTAACTATACAAGATTAGTTGTTTAACACCGTATAAGTTTTGTTATCAAGGGTATTTGAGATATCTTTGGCTTATGCCACAGACATGCAGGTTGCTCTAGCTACAAATGTCTTCACCAAAAATCAGGTTCAATGATGGATGACTTGGAATTTGCCAGAGGAGCCGTTTGTGAAACTAAACACTGATGTATTTGTGAATCACTCATTGGGTCATGCAAGTGTAGAAGGGTTGATAAGGGGTTCCAACTGCTCATGGTTTTGACGCTTTGCAACCAACATAGGTGAAGGTTCTAGTTTTCAGGCGGAACTTTGGGCTACACGGAGGGTCTACAACTATGCTTGGCAATGGGCTAGCAGATATACAGCACCATTTGCTTTGTTTCCATACTTGTACAGTCGTACACACCTTGAGAGAGGTCAACCAAGCAACAGACTTTTTGATGGACATGGGGCATGAGCTTCCTTAAGGAGTAACTTACTTTGACACCCGACCTTTGGGGCTTGAACAAATTCTTCAGGGATATGCAACAGTTGTCTCATTCCTAAGGACTTAGTTTTATCTAGCATGTAGCCCTTTTTCTTGTTTTTGCTCTGATGTATCAAGAAAAAAAAAGGTACAAATTTAAATTCTAACCTAAAATTATAGTTTCTTACATTACAAACACCAATTTAGTGAAACTCTTAAGTTCTTGCCCTTTAGCTTATCAATTACACGATGAGAGAGAGATCGAGAGAGAGAGGGCGAGGCTGGGAGAGAAGGGTCGACAGCAGAACACGAGGACAGCGGACAACACAACGGTATGAGGGTATCCAGATGCAGAGCAAGGATCGGCCAATGCAGTTTTATGGGGGTTTTGAGAAGAAAGTATACAATCAAGCAACTCCATTCTTCTTCACAAACTTTCCAGAAGACTGGACTTTTGAACAGATGTGGAGAACTTTCAACAAGTTGGACGGGGGTAGGGTGATCGAGATTGAATGCCCAAAGAAGAGGGATCGGCTGGGAAGGAGATTTGGGTTTGTTAGATTCTTGGAGGTTAAAGACACTGGTGAGCTGGAAAGAAAGTTAAATCAAATTCAAATTGCAGGAATCAAACTTCAAGCCAACAAACCACGGTTTGGAAAAACATGGCATGAAAAACAGCACCACTGGAACACAGAAAATATAAGGAGAGGGATGGTTAAAGATGATGCTAAATGGCAACAGAAAAAGTCTTATGCGGATGCAGTCAAAGGAATGACAGCAGAAAACAAAGTGCATGGAATGAGAAGGGGACACTTCCACGGAGTGGAAGGAAGGGATCATACCAAAACTAACAGTGCAAATGAGCAAAGAAGATGGAGATGGAAGCCTAAAATACAACCACAAGCATGGACAGGAATGGAGCTCAAAGTTAACAAGGAAGAGTACCAGTGGCTGGAGAAATGTTTTGTTGGGACTGTTCATTCCATAACCTTGATTCCAACTTTGCAGGAGAAATTTTATATGGAAGGAGTCTTTTACTGCAAGATCAGAGCAATGGGAGGAAGGTTGGTG